TTAATAGTTTTTATGATTTTTACATTGTCAGTCCTTTTTTCCCACTACAGTACCAACATGTAATGGTAAATCCAGACTTTTGCCTGTTAAGCTTAGCCGCTTAGCTTCTACAGCTGATCACACGGTCACATTTTCCGCACACTCCAGTAGTTCTACATATCTTCATGATTCATGGTCTTACTTCTGAGACAAACAGCAGGTCAGGGTAATGTTCTGTGGCTGTGATGATGCTAATATTACTTTATTTATAATGTATTTTAAAAACTACCCCAGCTGCAACAAAGGGCTGTACATGAAATCTACGGTAAACAAATATTCAGAACAAATCAAGATCAAAAAAAGAATAAAATAAGTAAAAGAAATAAAAGCACATTTCAGATTGTGCCAAAAGGTAAAAGGTATAGAGATGTTTCAAATTTTATTTTATAAATGGTTAGGGAAGTGGCTAGTCTGAAATGCAACATCAGATTATTCTAATTTCTAAGACTAATCTCTTGTTGTCCAATTTTACCAGATAGTCTCAAATGAAGATCAAATTTTTGGAGTCAAAATCAAAGTTTTATTGTCTATGGTGCTACAAAGACTTCAACACAGGCTTCTCACCAGTGTGAGTTCTCATGTGGGTCAATAGGCTGGCCTTTCGACTGACTCTTTTCCCACACTGTTTACAAGAAAAGGGCTTCTCACCAGTGTGAGTTCTCATGTGGTTCAATAGGTTGGCCTTTTGTCTGAATCTTTTCCCACATTGTCTACAAGAAAAGGACTTCTCACCAGTGTGAGTTCTCATGTGGGTCAATAGGTTGGACTTTTGACTGAATCTTTTCCCACATTGTTTACAAGAAAAGGGCTTCTCACCAGTGTGAGTTCTCATGTGGGTCAATAGGTTGGGCTTTTGACTGAATCTTTTCCCACATTGTTTACAAGAAAAGGGCTTCTCACCAGTGTGAGTTCTCATGTGGGTCAATAGGTTGGCCTTTCGAATGAATCTTTTCCCACATTGTTTACAAGAAAAGGGCTTCTCACCAGTGTGATTTCTCATATGGAGCAATAAACTGTTCTTATGACTGAAACTCTTCTCACACTGTTCACAAGAAAAGGGCTTCTCACCAGTGTGAGTTCTCATGTGGGTCAATAAATGATGCTTATAACTAAAGTATTTCCCACATTCTTTACAAGCATGTGATGTTTTTCCTTCATGACTTCTCATGTGGGACAACAAACGGGTATTGTGTTTGAATGTTTTCTCACATAATTTACATGAATATGATTTTTCCTGTAAGTGAAATTTATTGTGACGGTTCACTGATGATAAATGAGAAAAACCTGTTCTGTGACTCTTGTCAGTGTTTGGTTTTCTCTTATCTCTGAGACTGTGTTGTGATGTTGATGAGGCACAAACTGATTTCTCACCTGTGTGAATTCTGCCACATTTCTTCAAAGAGGATTTTATCTTCACAGTTTTACCACAAACGTCTCGTTTGACTAAAGTCTTATCTGAGTCAACATCACACAGACTGTCTGACAGATAAGAGCTTTTTACAGTCTTACTTCTGCTTCTGTCAGAACTCTTCTTTGCCTTCAGAACTAAGTTTGGACTTGGTCCTGGTTCTTCCTGCTTGCTTCCTTCATGGTCATAGATCTCATCTACAGGGGACAAGTTAGAGTGGAGCTGGTCCATGCTTGGTTCTGGTTCACTGTGGTCACGTTCTTCATAAGTTGAACTCTCAATGAAGGTATCAGTCTTAAGAACCTCCTCCTTGTAGACATGATGTTGTTGCAGTTCTAGAGACAGAGAGAAAATGTGAAGAAAAATTAGTTCAAACACTTAAAAATATAAATGCAACACTTTTGTTTTTGCTCCCATTTTTATGTGCTGAACTTAAAGTGAGAACATGCTAACTCCACCCAGAGAGGCAGCTTCAGACTGAGAGGCGACAGCTCTAACCACTGCACCACTGTGCTGCTCTATTCAGACAGCTTCACTACATCATTAGTTTGTCATTAACACATAAAAACTATTTTTTGAACAAAGCAACTCGACTCTATTCTGTAGTTAAATATGTTTTGCTTCCATCCAGGAAACTTTATCAGCTCAAAACTGGAGAGTGTGGAGTTCCAAGCTTTAAAGTGAATCAGCTTGGATCTCCACACTGCAGTTTGAATTAATAAAGCTCCCCAGATGAGAACCTAAATGTTTTCATTACCACAATAAAAGTCCAGTTTTTGTTTTCTGGATTTGACAAGTCCTGGATGACTGATAAAGTTCTTTCAGTTCCTCCTGCCTCTTCTAACAACTGTGGCTTTAAATGTTTCTGCATTCATGTTGTTTGTCAGTGAAAAACAGTTTAGTGTCATTTTTCTCTTTGAACCTCAAACTAAATGAAAAGTAGAGTTCTGGGGTTGGATTTATAAAACTGGCGTACGCACAATTTGAGCCCAGAAACTTGCGTATGCCACTTTTTACGCCAAGGTTGTGATTTATAAAATCCWAACTTGACGTGAAAATGTGCGGTCCGTCACGCCAGCTCTGACCCATGCGTACGCTCATTTTGGAGACGTGAAACTGCGACACAGATGGTGAAGTGAGGAATTAGAGCCACACTGTGTCATGATCACTGTCAGAGATTTAATTTACCTTCAGAATCTGACTTAAATAAAAGTTCCCATGCGCAACTCCATTCATCTGCTTCCTCCTCAGACGACCCTGACCCATACAGACCCCTCCCCGATAAGAACAGCAGGACAGCAAAAGCTTTGGATACACGCGCAGGGCGTGTTTCCAGTCCGTGTTTGTCACGCGCGCGCGGGGGGATGCGTGCATGTGTGTGTGCGTGGGGCGGGGGTCTGCCGCGGGTAACAGAGCAGGCAGGAGGGGGAGAGGACGAGGAGAAGAGCGGGGGACTTGTTCCTAATTTTATCTGACTTATTTTATTTAATTGTTATTGTTTTTATCGTCCTATAGGCTCTGACGGAAAATTAATTTGAAGCTGAGGTTTTTTTTTTTAATTTTTTATAAAAATCGTTAGATTAATCTAAATCAAAATGAGGGAAAATCTGTGTAAATC